AGTATCAGTAACAAGTATCCTTCATTTGTGGTGCCATTGCTCAGCGCTGCGGACTTGCCACGTCGCCGATATTCACAGCCGCGTTGGGGTGAGCGGCGAAGTCCTTGTTCATGTTAGATTTTTGGGATTTTCATGAATGTTGTTAGCTAGAAGTATGGTATACACAACAGTAGAAACAGAAGTCAACAGTGCGGTCACACGGGTGCAGGGCGTCTCCAATAGCAGCACCACACTCCCTGGCCGACCGGGCCTGACCCTCTTCTGCCTTCAATGTTGCCGTCTGCGCAGGACGAGCACGGCCGCGCCTGCTCACCGAGCGATGCGCCATCCTCTAAAACAGCTTTGCAACCCCCAAGTCGTCGTCATTTCTGGGAAAGAGCGTAAGCACAGAGTCATGGCAGTCGCCAAATGGACCTCCCATTGGATCTGAATGGCGCCACATTACAGGAGCTAGTCGAGGGAAGGCTCTTGCCGTTGCCATGGGAGAGAGACCATGCGCCGCGCGATGTTACTTGCGACGAGACAACCGGAGCCGAACCTGCACCTGGCTCCGACATCGCCCTAGAGCCGATTCCCATTAGCGCGGCGCCAACGCAGTCGTTGCGAGACGTGGAGATCATGATGTTGGACACTGCATTGAGTCTACGGCGCAGGCAAAGCCACCCAGATAGGTGAAGCGATTCAAGCGAAAGCGTGTCTCGTCCGATGACGAGCCTCGGAGCTGATACCCGTCGAACGCCTGTTGCGCTTGCGGATCGGGGAGTTTCACAAAGGTGGGCGACGCGCGGCGGCGGAATGGCGTACTAGTAGCCATCGCACCCGCCGCTTACCTAGAAGGTATGCTCGCCGAGCCGCTCCGAGTCACTGCTAGACTGGGCCGCGCACCATTCGCCGCCATAGATTATGGCGAGAGCCACCAAGTCACCTTGCTCAGTGCCCGTGCGCCTCGAGTTTCGCGCGACAGAGGTCGGCGAGCGCAGAGACAGCCGCCGGCCGGATTCCCTTCAAAGTTTCAGGATTTGGAGCGGGAATAGGTCCCCTGAGGTCGTTCGGATGTGGCCGGGGCACGTCGGGGCCTGCGCTAATCGTTGTGCAAATAGCGCTCAATCGGCCGAAAGAACATGTGCTGGTGATCATGGATAGAATCTACTGTAGTGATGCAATTTACTCACGGCAGCTTGAGAAATTCAGCGCGAAAAAGCGCACAGATCGACAGACCCCATATCTCTGCTGCGGGTTGCCCGGCGACTAGCGCGGGAGAGAGCCGGCACGTCTTGGACTTGGACTATGTATGCACGTGGGCCTCTGCAGCACTGGCTGGTCTGCTGCCGCGAAGTGTTGGGCAGTTCTGGCAGGAAATCAGTCGGGATGTTGTTAAGAGAGAAGCCGCGAACCCAGTCAGATGCTGAAAGAGGTGCAGGTTGCCGTGTGCGAGCGCCGACCGTGTTGAACGCGGCACGCGGCAGTGTCATGTCGAGCGCAGGATGGGCGAGCGGTAAGTATACAGGCCACGTCGCAGAACAGCAGCCAAGGCGGTAGCGGAGGCGGCGATGTTGTTGAGGAAGGGGGGAAAACAGTCAGGTTTACATAGAGCTCAATACTGGGAAGCAGCTGCAGTAATCGGCACTCGAAAGTCAGAGCAGAGGGGTCGGTGTCAAAGGTGTGATGTGGATGTTGCGGCCGGCTGTTGTAGCAGGGACACATAACGGAGACTACAATCGAGACCAGGACTGGCACTGCTATTTCGTTTGTAAGCACTGTTTACCTGGATAAGCAGACATCCGACTCGGAATGAAACTGAGGAGGTACAGACAAGCACGGCCACCAGCGGCTTCAAGCAATCTTCTCCTCTGCAGTCGTACAGCTGGCGGAGCTCCTGCGCCGCCTCCCTCCGGACCGGTGTAAGCACGTTGACCAGCCAGAAGCAAGCAAGAGCGCAGTCAAGACAGCGCAGTGCGGCGGCCAGCTCTGAATGCCACGTCACGCGATGACGAGGTAGGTCGATGCAACGCGCCGAGTCACTGCGCCGCGCACCACTCGCCGCCACAGGTTATGATGAGAGCAAGGCCCGGGCGCGGCGTGGCGGCAATAGTGCTGCGGGCAAGCTGCAAGCTAGCCGCTATACAACTTGAGGCTCCCGGCGTCGTGGTTAGAGATGTTGGTGAACACTGAAGTCCCAGGAAGACATCAACGCACGCGGGCCCGGCATGCCCGGTGACACTACCCAGGTGTTCCGTGTGTTGGTCGTGGTGGAGCAGAGACAAGATGTAGAGTCTCGAGATCTCAATCACCGATCATCTGTCAACCTCGACGCCGGCGGCCAACGCTGATGGCGATGACGACGACGGCGCGGGCAACGCAGCATGCGTTCAAGAGGAGACGGTGGGAAGGAACGCAATGGGCTCGGTTGGCAACCCGGTAACAAGAGGACGGAGGTCAACAGACTGCATACTCAGCCTCAGCTGCCGCTTACTTGGGAAGCGGCTGTACCACATTACCGCTCTCCTCGTTTGGCTGGGAGCCGCGCCCTGTCACACGAGCGCCGCGTAGGAGCCGCGCCGCGCCGCGCAAAAACTGCCACCCGCCGCGCACCACCAAAAGTACGCGGCGAAATACAGGTTGCAAGCCGCTCACCGCCGCATCGAGCCGCGCACCCCAAGAAGTCGAAGGCTGGTGCTCGACGACGAGAGCACCGTTCGAGCCGCGCAGTAGCACGTTCGGAAGGACTCGACGGGGGCTACCGAGCGGCCCAAAGACAATGGCATTAGCTTAAGAATAAACAAAGATATTGTCTACACAATATTTCACAGAGCCGCGCACCTGCCGATTCCGAGCCGCGCACCCCCTGCGCGGCGAAATCTTTTTGCCCAGTCATCAAGCATTGCCTCGCGACGCGCGTCCCCTGACAATATGGATTCACCAGAATGCCATCGAAGGTCATCGAAGGCCGCGTGTACATAATAGCGAAAGGTATAAAAGGCACAGGAACGCCGTTATATGCCCCAGAAACCCAATCTCCACTCACCATGAAGCCCCTTCATAGCCAAGTCTATCTCGTCGACGACTACGATGATGACAATAGCTCTCGCGGATGCTTGAGGCTATTCCCGCTCTGCGTTGCTCCGCTCGTTGGAAAACTCGAAACCCGGCGTAGCTGCTCGTATTTCCTCGAGCATTAGACAATGTCTGCCCCTCGACCAGCAACTGGTGCGGCATATTTCCGTGCAGGCTGTTCTTCCTCACCCTTGCTGACTGCGCCTACAGGATCCTCTCTGCCATCAATGGCCGAGGGCTCCATGGCTCTGAACGACTTCATCGCCATTCCAGGATCGTCGCCGGGTTCAGCTCCTGCAGACGCAACTCGATCGCCTCACAGCATTAACTCATTGTCCCTGGCGTGGTCATCGAGTGGCAATCTTTTTTATCCTGATGCCTGGACATCGAGCTTCGTCCAGTGGTCGAGAGGTCGCGTCAGAGAGCAGGGTTGCTCGGAGGCCCGCCGCTGCCCACGATGAACTTGAATGGAGTGGCTATGGAGCTTCGTCCAGCAGTCGACAGGGATGTTAAAGCAGTTGCGTCACTATGCTTCCAGTTTGCTGCGGACTCCGCCCCTTCCTCCTTACTGAGGCCAAAGCGCTGGTAGAGGCACAAAAGCTAATTGCGCAGCAACAAGTTTGGGTTCACACCATTCGCCGAACGGAAGACCCAGTCTGCAACGAGGAGGCTGTGTCCATCGCCGCCTTCATGCGAAACTCTGACCACGTGGCAACCATAACCAAAGTCTTCACTAACCTCCATTGGCATCACATGGGGTGTGCAGAGCGTCTTGTTCGGCGGGTCACAAGGCATCTTCTGTCAACAAAAACGGCAGTTGCTCTTTACATTGGCCACGACAACCCCGCTCGGTTTGTCTACCATTGTTGCGGGTTCTTAGGCCTGGCCAATGACACCTCGCTTCATGCGGGCCCGGGCATAGGCGCCGCAGAACAACAAACGGTCGTCGGTGCTTGGAAGATCACATGGAGCACAGGCTCAGGGTTGGGCCTGGGAACGAGCAGAGCAGGCGCCGCGGAGGCGGCCATGTCCAACGCATGAGAGACGGCTGTGTGCGAAGTTCGCTGGTGCTGGTTGAGGCGCCTCAACAGCAATGTTCAGCTACTGCACCTGCAGGCGCAAATCCATCAGGGCTGGGTTATTGACCTTCGTCCAGCGGTCGAGAAAGAGAGAGATGCAAATGCACATCTCTCTGCTTCCAGTTTGCTGCCGACTCTGCCCCATTCTTCCTTACCGAGACCAAGGCGCTGGTTGATCAAAAGCTGCCAGTAATGAAGGAATGTATTCAGGATTCTCTAGCTCAGGTATAGCTCGGCGCGAATAGAGCAAACACGCCACACACCCTACTAGTAGTGAGGATGCGGCTTGGAACAGTGGCAATTTCATGAGTTAGCTAATTGTAGCTTAAGTACTACCTACACATTTCAAGTATTGATCTAGCATTAGAGATAATTTCTCAGATTGAAGTCTAATGACTCTGGCAGCAAAGACTAGGGTACGGAGTTGCAAGGGGGGTTCAAGGACCTTGATCTCAGGCCTCCGGGGTTGCCCTTACAAGTATGAACTGACACAAGGAATTTCAAAGTAGTCTCTTTCTAAGAACCACTACAGACACTTGGTATGTTATGGGTGAGAAGCAACGGGGCTCAGCCACGCTCCTGGGCGCAACACTATGGTTCGAGGATGAACCCGCAATGGATGCCCAGCCGAGAACATGTGAGCGCGGCTAGCCTAGGAGAAGGGCATCTTCACTTCTTTTGTTTGTGAAGGTTCGCAACATACAGTGGAGCCAAAACTTGAGTTGAGCGCCAGTACTTAAGGAAGGCGTCGGAGGACCATCACCCCATCTTTTTGACCACCTCCGTTGGGACCCCGGCCAAGAGAAGTTCCGTTGTCCCACCAATACGAAAGCTATGACCTGTCAGCTTAGGATAGCCATGTCGTGCTCAAACTTCGTTGCAGCGATTGAGAAATGCGCGTCGCGTAAGTGGGATGGTGGTAGCGCCAGTCGAATATGTGAACAGAAGTGTGTTGGGGGTGTTGGGGGTAGCGAATAGATGCATACGAAGCACTGATATTGGATCAATTTCGCTGCACTGAGCGGTGAGAATGACGTCTTCGCCGTGTTTCTGGGTCTTGGTACGAGGGAGACGGACAGTAATTGTGTGTTTTGTCGAAGTAATGTTGTTCCGACATGGTTTGGTGCTCAGCTCTGGGTCCGTCCGAGAAGTGGGTAGTAGTTCACCCAATCTGCACTGACCCCAGAAGGCAACGCACGCGGCTGCGAAGACAGCGATGTCAAAGGATGAGGTGAGGTTGAGCCCGGAACGCAAGTGGAGGAGCATATCTGCGGTAATTGGAGGACATGGTGGTCAGTTCGTGACCTGAGGGGAGAGTGCGTCAACGCCAGAGAGGACGTAGTGCAATCTCGGGCCGCCGAGCCAGGGCTGTTTCTGGGCGATATGCCAGGGTTTTAGCGCCGCAATGTCGTTTCGCGGGTAGATCCAGCGTGGATGCCGGTATGACACGGGGTAGGCAGAAAGAATGAATTCATGGGTGGGGAGTCGGAGGTGAGCCGGGACTGACTCGTTGTCGCAAAACAGAAGAAAGCGGTCGACTGCATAGCCGTAGTTGGTGAGAGTTTTCGCACCCCAGCCATTCTGGAAGGCAAGGTCCAACTGAGCGCGAAGGGGCGGAGAGATAGGGTGTGGGTCGGAGAGCGGGGGGGGGGCCAATATGGGGCCTGAAGATCCAGGGGGTTTTCGCTCAGAGGTTGCTGGTGATGCGTGGTGGCTGCAGAGGCCTTGGGTGTCGTTTGTGGGCCGGTCTAGATTGGTCTTGTGCCGCTGACCTTCTATCCGAAGCCCGAATGAGCTGAATGAGGTCGTGGGTTTCACGCAAGGAGGGGGGGATTGGGTGTTGCGTCGTGGGAGTCATAGTGATACGAGTCAAGATGTCATGGTGAAATGTCGGTGATGATCCAGAAGAGAAATGATTCAACTCAATTCAAGTTCTTGAAGATTAATTTATAATTACTCAAGGGCTGTCTACAATAAGGTTTGAAACATAGTAGGGTATCTTGAAAGGGGCAAAGGAACGTGAAAAACCAGGAATCGACAATGGTATACCGCGCGAAGGTCCGTCGGCGAGATTGTCTGCAGATGGTGTATAGGAGGTGGTAATCCAGAGTGTGTGTGTTCGGAGCAGAGCGACAATTCTCCTGAGAACACGGTTCTGTTCCGGGTTTCGAGATTTTCCTGAGTCGACTGCTCCGAGAACACCTTGATTGTCAGACAGAATGTGAAAATGGATGTTCTCGTGACCTCTCCGAATAGCAAGAAGAAGGCCAAACTCGACGGCGAGCATTTGCACCCATCCTATCTTACGTCCATCCGCCTCCCAGCCCGCTTGGAAACGCCAAGATGCCCAGACAGTGTCGAAGACAACACCGATTCCCCATGATGTGGAAGTGTCAACCCAAAAGGGTATCGAAGAGACAAGGGGAGGGCGAATCAATATGGAGCCACAGAATGGGAGGTTAAGCTGTTGTCGCCACCAGTTGATATCGCTTAGAACAGTTGCGTTTGGCGAACGTTTGGAGAAGTTCGAAGAGGTGTGCGAGAAGGATGCGGCGAAGGCCAAGATGGCCGGCAGACGTGAACGACCGTCTCGTATAGCCATGGCACAGTGCACTAGGGTCCCATGGACGGATTCAGCTTCCTTCCTGTTGAATTTTGAGCCTCTGACCCAAACTTCAAGTTTGGTCAGGTAGCGAGTTTTCTTGGTGTCGGGTATTTCGACAGTCTTAGCATTCAAATCCCAGCGGAATCCGACATATTTGAAGGTTGAATTGAAGGGGAAATGTCTTAGAAAGCTTCCAGGGCCAACCCAGTGGTTCTATGAAACGGTAAATGGTGTCGACGTCATATCAGTAGTCGCCGGAGTCTTGTAGATATCGAAAGAAGCAGAAATCATCGACCCATTTTTTGAGGGGGCCAATGTGATTTGAAGTGAGGAGTGCGGGCATAGCATCAGCGATTTGTCCGAATATTCCAGGGGAGCTCGAGGGTCCAAAAGGAGCACAGTGGTCAATATAGCACAGGTCTCTCCAAGAGACAACGAAGAACCACTGTTGCGAAGGGTGTATAGGCACTCGACGGAAGGCAGCGTCAACATCCAATGTTGCTGCTTGGGTGCCTGGTGGTGCGTCCAACACCAGCAGTAACATTTGCGAAAAGGTTCCCCAGTCACAAGGGAAATCATCCGAATCAATAGTGGAGTTAATCGACACAATCTCAGGGTCATCGTATGGAAATGAGAAGTCTTGAACCATTCGCCATTTATCTGGCTCACCAGCTTTGGGTACAACACCTAAGGGGGAGGAGCGAATTGGCCCAATAATCGCTTTGAGACGGCTCAAATTGAATGGACTGGAGTAGCGGTGGGAAGCCAGCTCTGTTTGGATATATTCGTCAATTACATTAGGGTGTTCGAGTGCAGTACGACAATTAGCGGGAGTGTAAGATGATGATAGGTCCATGTTAATGCCAGTCAGAATATCGTGAAATTCACCTGTTTAGCCCACAAAACACCGTGAGTTATCAGTGGTAACCCGCCGGGGTGCCATTGACAAGGCTCAGTATTTTCAGAACATCCCCTGAGGTGAATAATTGCTGGGGAGAGGGGTGAATAAAGTTGGGCTCTAAGGCAAAATTCGTCCCAAGTCTGGTATGTAAGGGGTAAATAAAGGTGAATAATACAATGACCAAGTCCCCAGAAGTCCTGTTATGTGACATGTGTGTGACACATAGTCCCAGAAGGAAATTTTATTGATAGGCATTGAAACTGATATTTCAGTGGCTGCGCAATACCTTTTCACAGTTGTATAGAGTGACACGTATATCAGATTTTCAAAAATGGAAAATTTCACCATTTAATAGTACAATCGTCAGAGAATGTCACAAATCATCACGAAATGACAGTTCTCTATTTTGACTATACAAATAACTTTCATTAAGTGATATATAGTAGCAGCTGAATAGTTGTGCCAGCACAAGCCAATCACTAGCTGATCTACAACTGATGAAACGATATCTCAATAACTAGAGTAGCTACGGAGCTAATTGAAGTATTACCAAGGATACTTGAATGGGAGGTCAATATCCCTATCAATACCATGTCATCAGCATACCCATACTGCTGCATGATTATCTATCAGACATTTTGATCTGGCTATATCTCTAGCAGTTCTCTATGGATTCACATTATTATTTCACTAGTAGGTAGGTGGTAATATTGTCTTAATATAATCTGATATGACCATAGTCACATGCCTTTAGAATATACTGTCATACCACTTTTCTGTAGTTTTTCTACCTCAAATTTGACCAGGCATAATGATGACCTGATATCTGGGTGAGAAATGCATGGATGACCATGGGGTCAGTTTTGCTATGGTCAGATGGACATTCCTGATAGCCCTACAAGCCACCCATATTTTTAGGCACCCTATATACCTGTCTATATGGCTCATATCCTATTATTTCAATCTCCCAAGAACTTACTCAGAGGTAAGGAATCTCTAATGAGATGAAGGTAGGAAGTAGAAGAGGGGTTTCCCTGAGAGATGTTATGCCTCCCATGATGTTTTATCCTTGAAATCTCTTGTTATTCTCCATTCTACATATTACTGCTATGTCATAAGATATTAACATTATAGCCATGATCTGCTAGTTGATTGTGGATCAAAATAAGTCAAGTTCAGTCAATGAGGTATATACACATACCCACCTACTCTGATTGATGATTGTACATACCTGGATGGTGAAATCAGGCAGACATTCAACTGCAGGTTAGATGCAAAACTAGTTTACATGAATAGTGGGGTCTATAGACTGAGTATTGGACATTGAGATGCATGTATTGGGGTATTGGGATATCCACTAGGACCCTGTACTGGAATTGGTTGGGGTTATGGCATGTGTTACAGAAGGTAGCTAAAGAGAGGGTAGGTACCTATAGAGCAGAAGAGAGTGTCTTCGCTATTACAACTGGTCAGAAAATAATTTCAAGTATGATCCAAGACTTGATTGTAGGATGGTCTACACCTTCCCATGGACCTGTCCAGCACTTGAATCAACCCTATAGCTATGATGGATCTCTCACAGTAGCATTATCAGTGTTATCTATTCCAAAAATGATGGGTTCACCATGGTATGGCCTGTGGAAGTCTGAGAGATTTCAGTATATTCAATGGTAGGGGTATGATCCACCTCCCATAAAGTGGTGCCCCTGCCTCTCTGGCATATCTCCATCCTGGGTTATGTGGCACCTAAGGTCTGCAACAATTGACTCACCCTAACACATGCTACAGCATCACTAATGGGTGGGATTATAATGGAGTATCCTGTGATATCATATCAATTTACATCATGAGATTCCATACATAGGGTCCCAAGATATCAGCAAAATACTCCTTAACTTAGTGTTTACATATGCTTAGCACTAAATAGATCAAGGTAATAGGTCACAGATGATAAGGAACATTGGGCTAGATAGGAGTAGGATAATATACCTTTCAAATGAGCCTTTCTCCAGCTTTATCCACTGAGGCCAGCTGGAGATCTAAGCCTATCTTCCAAAGTTGATGGAAATCAAATGTTACTGATGAGAGAATGCATTGTGTTTTCAGTGCCCAATTCAGTTAGGATTGGAAGTAGACATAGTCAAACATTGGCTTAGGGTATCTGAAGGTTCAAGTCAGCAGTCTTATCACTTTAAGCACCCACATATCCTCTCTCATATGAATAAATGGTCAGTAGAGTGATTGTATCATATGATGGTGATTAAATGCTATGTTCAAGTAATGATACTCTGAAAGGCCTTCCTGGTAGTATTGAAATCATGTATTTATATCAAGTGGTTATAGAAATAGAAGCCCATCAGTTGAACATCAGCTAGTGATTAGACAGTTCTGATACTACTATTCAGCTGCCACTATACATCACTTAATGAAAGTTGTTTGTATAGTCAAAATAGAGAACTGTCATTTTGTGACAATTTGTGACATGCTGCGATGATTGTGGAAATTTCCTTTTTTGGAAATTTCTTATATGTATCACTCTATGTTACAGTATATAACCATATGACATAGCCACTAAAACTACCAACTCCAATCTCTATTGACCAAAGTTCCTTTTTAGGACGCTGTGTCACCTGTCACATAGTGTGCCTCCGGGAGACTTGGTCTGGATGACCTATATTGTATTATTCACCTTTATTCACCCCTTACATACTAGACTTGGTACGAATTTTGCCTTAGAGCTTAACTTTGTTCACCCCTCTCCCCAGCAATTATTCACCTCAGGGGATGTTCTGAAAATACTGAGCCTTGTCAATGGCACCCCGGCGGGTTACCACTGATAACTCATAGTGTTTTGTGGGCTAAACAGGTGGTGAAATTCATTGTACAGGTTGACAGTGCGTAGCGCGCTGTGACGGTTCGGGTCGGGCCGTCGGGCCCTATACGGCCCGACGGGCCCTCACCACCCTTAGAGCCCTAGGGCTTGACAAGCCCTCATATATTCACAAGCTCAAAGCACTGAGCAACAACACTAATATCCCAGAGAAGGGACATAATCACGGATCGCGCTTTAGTCAGCCATCAAGCCATCATGACCCGCCATCAGGGATCATGATGCGCCGCCGGACACCCTTGACAGCGGGCCCAATCGGCCCCAGACAACCACAGGGATCAGGAGGGAGCTCCTTACTGTTGCATTGCCAAACACTCCTTAGTGTCGACTTTGGCATGGCTCCTTTCCAGAGGAATGGTCCCTGGGCTCCTAGCGGAGCGACCAGGGACGACCAGAGACATCCCCTGCTCCCTTCTGATCGACCCTCAGCGGGCCCGATCGGCCCCTAGCGCCCACAGTATATAAAGACCAGAGTATTACTCCTGTACCTTAGGTTTAGCATTGAAGTCTCTTCCTTTGAACCCTACTCCGGCCTGGTCCCCTAGAGCGGGGTTGCTGCAACCATACCCCGGGAAAGGGGCGTCTAGACGACTTCCAACACCCAGGCTAGCTTGCCTCATTGACCTGAGCCCTTGGTTGGGCTGGACAGCTCAGGCTCTTGTCTCTTATGTTCACCCTTGTCCTAGCCACTTCTTCCTGCTCTCTGGCCTCAAGCTCTGGGTTCCCCTGGTACGGGGCGATGGGAGGGTGCGGGCCCGATCGGGCCCGCATGTCACGCGTCACACCGCGCCGTCACGCGGTGTCTAGGAGCCACAGCGACTCGTTTCTCCAGGAAAGGAGATATGTCGTGTCAGGGTTCGGGTCGGGCCAACGGGCCCTATACGGCCCATCGGGCCCTCACCACCCTTAGAGCCCTAGGGCTTGACAAGCCCTCATAATTCACAAGCTCAAAGCAATGAGCAACAACACTAATATCCCAGAGAAGGGACATAATCACGGATCGCGCTTTAGTCAGCCATCAAGCCATCATGACCCGCCATCAGGGATCATGATGCGCCGCCGGACGCCCTTGACAGCGGGCCCAATCGGCCCTAGACAACCACAGGGTCCAGGAGGGAGCTCCTTACTGTTGCATTGCCAAACACTCCTTAGTGTCGACTTTGGCATGGCTCCTTTCCAGAGGAATGGTCCCTGGGCTCCTAGCGGAGCGACCAGGGACGACCAGAGACATCCCCTGCTCCCTTCTGATCGACCCTCAGCGGGCCCGATCGGCCCCTAGCGCCCACAGTATATAAAGACTAGAGTATTACTCCTGTACCTTAGGTTTAGCATTGAAGTCTCTTCCTTTGAACCCTACTCCGGCCTGGTCCCCTAGAGCGGGGTTGCTGCGACCATACCCCAGGAAAGGGGCGTCTAGACGACTTCCAACACTCCAGGCTAGCTTGCCTCATTGACCTGAGCCCTTGGTTGGGCTGGACAGCTCAGGCTCTTGTCTTTTATGTTCACCCTTGTCCTAGCCACTTCTTCCTGCTCTCTGGCCTCAAGCTCTGGGTTCCCCTGGTACGGGGCGATGGGAGGGTGCGGGCCCGATCGGGCCCGCATGTCACGCGTCACACCGCGCAGTCACGCGGCGTCTAGGAGCCACAGCGACTCGTTACTCCAGGAAAGGAGATATGTCGCCCCTTGGACTGGCAACCCTTCTCAAGCGCTCCAGGGGTCTCGGGCCCGCAGCCCCTGTTGCGGGGCGACTCCC